TTCCTCCTCTCCTCTCCCGCTCCAGCTTCAGCTCCACTCGGCCGGCCCCGCACGGTTCCGGGTAGCCATGGAGGACACCCAGCTCCATATCATTGAGCAGCCGCTTCCCGGGTACTCTGACACCGAGGACCCGGTGTCCTCCCCCGTGCGGGCGCCGGCGGCTGAGGAGCCGTCGGGAGCCGGATCCGAGGAGCTGATCAAGTCGGACCAGGTGAACGGTGTGCTGGTGCTAAGCCTTCTGGACAAAATCATCGGCGCCGTCGACCAGATCCAGCTGACCCAAGCCCAGCTGGAGGAGCGGCAGGCGGAGATGGAGGGCGCCGTTCAGAGCATCCAGGGCGAGCTGAGCAAGCTAGGCAAGGCGCACGCCACTACGAGCAACACCGTGAGCAAGTTGCTGGAGAAGGTGCGCAAGGTCAGCGTCAACGTGAAGACCGTGCGCGGCAGCCTGGAGCGCCAAGCGGGCCAGATCAAGAAGCTGGAGGTCAACGAGGCGGAGCTGTTGCGGCGCCGTAACTTTAAAGTCATGATCTATCAGGTGAGCTGGCGGGGAGCAGCGCGCCCAGAGCCCAGCGCCCTGCCCGCAGTCCCCCGCCCGGGGATTGGGGTGGGGAAAACTGCCCGCGGCGCAGCTCTCCCGCCAGCCTGGCAGGGCTCAGGGGACCCACCCTCCTTCGGGCCAGCGCTGCTGGGAGGGGATGGGATGGGGCGAGGTGGAGTGAGTGGCAGATTCCTGGAGCTCGCAGAGGGGCGCGCTGTGCACCCCGTGCCTCCTCACCCAGCCCTCTTCCCTCCGGTGTCAAACAAGTAGTGGAACCGAGTTTGGGGGCTGGACTCTGGGACACGGCCCCTTGAAGACTGCTCCCAACCTGGCTGTTAGAAGTCTTCCTACTCCGAGGAAGTTTTAGGGAAAGCAGGGGTCCTTGGTGGCCCTTGGGGCCCGCTGTAAGCGGACACTGGCGGCGCGGCCCGCGTTTGGGGCCTCCGGCGCTGCCCGCCCGATATAGCGGGTGATTCAGGGCTCAGGCACGCACCGGCGGGGGCTGCGTCAGGCGAGGGACAGCACAGCCAGCACACCCAGCACACCCCGGCGGACCCCGCGCCCCCGCCTCAGCCTCGGCTGCCTACCCCGTCCCCTCGCTGCCATCTGCCCCTGGCCTCCCGGCCCTTTCAGGCCGTTGGAGATACCCTCGCCAGCAGCGCGCAGATATACCCTTGGCCGGATGGAAGCAGGCAGGCGCGGGGTACGGGGAGGCAGCGCGAGGAGAGCAAGAGGCGCTGGTGGAGGGTAGTGGACAGCCCCCACGGGGACCCGCGGTCCGGGCGCAGTGAATCATCCTGCATATCTGCGGGGGTGGCGGAGGAGGCAGCGCACTGGCAGGTGGCCGGCGTGCCCCAGGCTCCGCCCAGGCCTCCTGTTGCATCCTTTGTACCTCTCCCCATTCCTCCCGCCTATATTAAAATGGAGATTTTGTATCATAATCCCCCAAATAAACCTGGGAATCTTAGTATTGCTACCCCTCTCCACCTCCACCCCCGCCCCAATCCCATTAAGGTGGGTCTGAGCTGAGGGCCTGGTGATCTTTGCTTGGGTGGGAATGTGCCCAGCCTCACCTCCTCTCTGCTTCCCGCAGGCCTGGTTGATGTTCCAACCCCAAGAAGGTGAGATCATGGGGATGGAGGGGTGGTCTGTGCTCCCTCCTTCCCTTCCTCTCGCTACCGAAGGGAATGGAAAGAAATGGAAGGCCAGATTTCCCACACCCCTTAGGTGAGAAAAGCCCTATCAGGGAGCCGTGGTTTCACTGACCGCTGTGGGGCCTGGTCAAGCTGGGTCCTGAGTGACCATCTGGGATGCTGTGAGGTCCTTGCTTTGGTTTCTCTGGAAGGAGCTCAGAAAGATGCAGACTGGAACAAGTGTTGGAGACAGTAAACACAGGGAGTGGGTGAGCTTGCACTTGTCTGAGGAGGTGGTGATGGGACAGAGGCAGACTTGGCACACTCTCCCCGTCCCCCCATGCCCAGGGACTCCTCCCAAGAGGCACTTGTCTTTTAAGAAGCTTTGCTTCCCCTCAGGCAGCACTATCTGGTAGAAAATGTTTGCCCGGAGTTGTTTCCACTTACTTTAACTGCTTGGAGGAACCAGGATAGGGGGAGGTGAGATTTCTAAAGAGATCCACCTAGCACTGGGGGACATCAAATGAAGGAGAACAAGACAGGGGAGCAAGCCATCTTCATCTTTTCTCCAGCGCTTGGTGTGGTAAAGGGTTGCCATGAAGGTCTAGAATGGGCGACCCTTCTCATTTTAAAGATTCCAGACTGTAGGACCTGGGAAAATTCTTGGTCCCGAGTTAAACTTCCCTATGTTAAAGATGGAGATTCTGAGAGAGGGACAGGTGTGGAGGGAGAAAGACTTCCCTGCGGAGGCCAATAGCATCCCTCTGTTACTCCCTCTCAGCAGTTGGCAGGATCTGTGGCTGTATATTGTGTGTCTGTAAGGGTCGGGTTGTCTTTGACTGCATCTGTACTAAACCAGGGCCAGTGGGGGATAGAGAGTTGAGGTAGAAGGAACAGCTCAAGCTAGGGACCCCGAGCCCCCCAAACACAGGGGAAATAACTAATGACTAAAGTGGTCCCACCTCAGAGAAGAGCTCAGAGGTAAGGAAAAGATTCCAGCAACAGGGTGAGGCTCAGAGAAGCAGAATTTCCCTGAGCTGCAGAGCAGATGTTCCAGGTGGGGGTTGGGGGGTGGTACTCAAATGCTAGAGGAAAACAGTGGTTGCTCCTCCCCGAGGTCTGCAAGCCTGGGAAGAGAATGAGGTAAAAATAGCTCTGCGCCTTGGCGGACCTAATAGGGAAGATTGGGGGCGGCAACATTTATGGGAAAATCAGGCTGACCGGGTAGGATGCTTGGGTGGCCAGGCAGAGAGAGATTTGGAGATGGTATGAGTTCTCCAGCATGGGAACAGGGGAGGGGATGCTGTATTCTTTACTGCAGATGTGAGAAGTGCTGATATAGCAAAAAGGGCAGGGTGGAGGAAAGCATGAAAGGGTGGGAAGGCCCCAGCTGTGGGATCATCTGGCCTCCCACACCTCCTGCCTGGGGAATAAAGAAGGGAATCCCTTGTGTGGCTCCACCCCAGATTCAAGGAACTGCTAGACATAATGATGCCAGGTTGTATGCATTTGTGCGCACGCGCACGCACACACACACACACACACACACACACACACACACACACACACGCACACACACACGCACAATTCAGCTCCTCCCACTCAAGGATATCAGAGCCCTCACTTTGAACTCACTTCTGAGTTATTAACGTCTTTCTCTGGTATTTCCCTCCCTGTCTCGCAAACAAAAACTAGCACTTTGGCATTCCATCCTATCAGGTAACAGCTAGGCAACAGCTCATGAATGAGGGAAGTGAATTCTACCAGTAGCTAGGGGTCAGTGGGCCGAGAACTGCTGGGAGTTTGATCAGGCAGATTGTGAGCACTATACAAACAGGAGGAGCTGTGATCATTAAATAGCCGATTCTCTCAGACAATGATTTAGATACGATTAGAGTTCTTTTAGAATCCAGAAAGGGATGCTAAAATGGAAATAAATGTTTTCTTGAGCAATTTTGATGAGGCAGTTAGTGACCTACCCTACACACGTACCCATTAGACTTGCTCCAAGCCCTTGAGGATAGGACCAGGAATCATTTAAGGAATTAGGTGGCTCATGAGCACTAAAGGGGAGGACACCAGGACTGGAATGAGGGCTTGCTGCTTCTCCCCAAGTCCTACCCCACCCTATAGCTCCTTCCTGGACTCAAGCCAAGTCAGAGCTACCTTGTTCCAGAAGAACCCAAACTTTTGTCGAGGAATATTTCCAACTTGGGGCTCCGGTCTCTCTCACTTTCTAAGCCTAGTGGCTGTGAGAGAGTGCTCGCCACTCCTTTCTCTCCAAAAAGATGAATTTGGATTGTTTTTCCTGGTCTCTGGATCCGAAGCAGGGAGAGTATTTTTTAGGGATATTTCTAAGACTAAAAGAAATTGTGCTTCTCTCTCTGATTTTTTTTTTTTAAAGTAAATAAAGAAATCTGCCTGTTGTAAAGGCCAAAGTTAAAGAGAAAGGAGATGGCACAGTGGGCAACTGATAGGAAGAGGAGAGGGATTACTGTTGCTAGGCAACCAACCTCAGAGATGAGCGGTGGTTTGTTACTTTTTTTTTTTTTTGAACCGTACCATTATGAATATTTCATCATTCTGTCATGATGGGCTTTTTGAGCTGGAAGAGGACTCAGAGATAATCAGCTTCAGTTTCTTCATTTTGTAGCAGAGGAAGCTTAGGCCCAGAGAGGCGAAGTTAATTGCCTGTTGTCACTCGAGTGACTGGGCAGCCAAGCTGAGGCCAGAACCCAGGTGTACCCCTTCTTCCGCTACACTTTCTGCTCCCCACCTCCTCAGGCTCTGCAGCAGAAATCAGGGTGGGGCCTTGCTCTAACGGAGGGTTAGTTCTGGCTCCTTCATTTTCTGAGGGAGATAGTTGCAGTCTTGGCATTGGGGTTGCTTTGTGCGTGTGTGTGTCGGGGGGAGTGCAGTGTTGGTCAAGAGTGGCTAAGGTTGGTGGCCAATAGCTACTCAGCCTCACAGCGCTGAAGTAGAGGCAATGTGTGGCTACCTGGCCCAATGACAGTGGGCAGGGGGAGCAGGGTGTAAGGACTAGAGCTCCCTGGCCAGCGTGGGTGTCCCTTGGCACGGCCTCTGCACCTTGCTGGGAGAGGACCGTGGTGGCTCCTGTCTCCTCAGCCTCCCTGCCTCTCTTACCTTCTCTCTACCCACAGGGCAGGTTGGCACCTGCTGCTTTGTGTTTTCCGGTAACATTGTTGTCATCAGAGACTTGTAGTGCTCCCAAATGTCCCTCTTCCCTGACTTCTGATTATCCAAAGCAAGAGTGGCAGCTCAGCCTCTCAGCTGGGAGCTGCCACTGGATGCCCCAGGATGTAGGCCCACCTGTCATAAATATAGCTTGGCTTTTGATCCTGATTTCTCTGTGCGTCTTGGTGTCTGATAGCCCAAGCGTGGGTCAGGGGAGGGTGGCAAGAGAGGCAGGAGGTGAGGACGTGGCCAAAAGGAAACAGCTGGGATGTCCCTCTTCTATGCCTCTCCCTCTCCTTATCCGGGGCGGCACCCAGTGCCCACCCTGCCCTGGGGAATAACCAGAACTGGGATCAGCAGCGTCTGACTCTGAAGACAGTGAAGTTGTTTGCCTTCTCTTTCACTCACCGGAGCCTCCCTAGTTAGGGTCTAACAACTGGCCTCTTAGAAAACTCCTTCTCCACCCCTAGCAGCCTCTTTCTCCCATCACTCCGCTCCACCCCTCAAAAGCGTCATCCCACTGTTATAGCTGGTAGAGATAGAAGGTAGGAGGCCAAGGACGGGATGGGGAAGATTCTAGAGGGAGGAAAGGAGGAGGTTCCATTTAAATTGTGTATTAATTCATAGGTCTGGTCCACTTGATGAAGCATTTAAAATGTGGTTTCTTTCCGTCTTAATACATTATGTACTCTCTCTGCCTTCCTATTTACTCACTAGCCCCAACTCTGCATGCTCTCACCAAGGCCTCT